TCTTGGTTCAATATTGAGTGTACGTTTTGTGAGAGCAGTAACCACTATTTATAATAGATCAATCCTAATAATTCTCCTATTAGAATCACCATAGGATACCAACTATGAATCCAAACATATTATGAGTACATCAACAAAATAGACTTCCAATCCCACAAGGACTAGGATAATCTGAATTAAATCCTACAAGAATTAGGATAGTTTTAAGCTTTCTAGCAAGACTTTTCTATGTCAATTGAAACACTGTGACCGACCATAATATTCAGTTTTATAATCATTCTAACGTTCTCCTACTTGAGTATGAAACATATTAATCACACAGCCTTTCATATTCATAGAAGTGATCACCAAATCTTTTGGATAACAAAAGCTTAACCTCACATACAACTTACCTATGCATTTTAAAGTATGGTTAAGAATTTTTTCTGTTACATCGCATAATTAACCCAAAAGTCACAACAAGAATTTTTTCTGTTATATCGCAGAATTAACCCAAAAGTCACAACATACTTAATTTGCACTTTGTAATTATGTGAACCAATATAGCCAAACCAAACCAATTTACTCCCACTCATCTAGGCCATACTTAACACAAACAAGTTAATAGCAACTATATTAACTAAAAGTCATTCCAATACAATGAAAGACTAATCAAAATTCATATGGAAACCAAATTCGTTTCCTTTTAAATGCTAACCAACATAATAGGATCCTTCTCATTACTTAAACAAATTAAGTAACACAAACAATGCAACCAATTGCTTCAATAAAACCATAAACTAGTTTAAGCATCCCAATGAATTATAATGGCTGGCCTAAATTGTCACATCCCGGCCCGGGGTGGATCACTTCCCAGGCCCGCTCCACCACCATAGCACGATATTGTTCGCTTTGGGCCCGACCATGCCCTCACGGTTTTGTTTCTAGGAACTCACGAGCAACTTCCCAGTGGGTCACCCATCCTGGGAATGCTCTAGCCCCCTTCTCGCTTAACTTCGAAGTTCCGACGGAACTCGAAGCCAGTGGGCTCCCAAAAGGCCTCGTGCTAGGTAGGGATGGGAATATACATTTAAGGATCACTCCCCTGGGCGATGTGGGATGTCACAATCCACCCCCCTTAGGGGCCCGATGTCTTCGTCGGCACACTCGCAGCCAGGGTTAGGCTCTGATACCAATTGTCACATCCCGGCCCGGGGTGGATCACTTCCCGGGCCCGCTCCACCACCGTAGCACGATATTTCAATTTTCACATCCCGGCCCGGGGCGGATCACTTCCCCGGCCCGTTCCACCACCGTAGCACGATATTGTTCGCTTTGGGCTTACCATTCCCTCACGGTTTTGTTTTTTGGAACTCACGAGCAACTTCCCAGTGGGTCACCCATCCTGGGAATGCTCTAGCCCCCTTCTCGCTTAACTTCGGAGTTCAACGGAACCCGAAGCCAGTAAGCTCCCAAAAGGCCTCGTGCTAGGTAGGGATGAGAATATACATTTAAGGATCGCTCCCCTGGGCGATGTGGGATGTTACAATCCACCCCCTTAGGGGCCCGACGTCCTCGTCGGCACACACGCGGCCAGGGTTAGGCTCTGATACCAATTGTCACATTCCGCTCCGGGCCGGGATGTGACAACCACCACCGTAGCACGATATTGTCCGCTTTGGGCTTACCATTCCCTCACGGTTTTGTTTTTGGGAACTCACGAGCAACTTCCCAGTGGGTCACCCATCCTAGGAGTGCTCTAGCCCCTTTCTCGTTTAACTTCGGAGTTCCGACGGAACTCGAAGCCAGTGAGCTCCCAAAAGGCCTCGTGCTAGGTAGGGATGGGAATATACATTTAAGGATCACTCCCCTGGGCGATGTGGGATGTCACATAAATGCTCTTAGCCTTATACTTACATTTGAACATATTATTCTCCCACTTAAGCATAAGCAAAAAGTACTGCACATCCAATAAAGAAACTGGAGATATGAACCAATTAGTTCCTGATTCCTCACCAGCATAATCTCAGTTTAGTCATATACACCTAAACCATTATGCAAACAGTTTATGTATCAAAAGATAGTCTTGATCCATGCAGAAAAAACTTATCTCACATAAACCCAAAATCACCAGTTTCAATAATGATCAAAATCAGAATAGCAAGCACAATATTTTTTCATTCAATTTGATCCTAACTAGTTCAATATCCATCAAGCAAGATCAACCAAATCTTGATAATGTCTGGATATATATCACAACAATATGTCTTGATTAAAACAAGATAATCAAGACCACTATTTCTTCTAGAGAACTCAAAATTCATCTTCCTCCCTACTTGCGATTTCAATCAAAACATAATAGTGGAAGCATGCATCATAAATGAAATCACAAATACACCTATACAATAAGCATGCATCTTAAACTTCATGATTTTCACAATACAATAAGCATAGGCTTTCTTATGAATTCATAAATTAAATCAATATGCTTATGAATTCATAAATTAAATCAATATGCATTCAGCAATGTCAATTTGTGTTGTACAAAAATATTGACAACAACTCATATAAGCTAATTTGTTTCTCATCCTTGTATATGGATGATACAAGCTAATTCTCAAAATTTATAGCTTGACCTATATAATCATACAAGTAAATTTTTAAGGCTACGATTAATATACATCACCACGAAATCTAATTTGGGTCAACTAATGAAAAATAAGAGCACTACAAAATAAAACCCAAAATTACACCAACGTATATAGATCCACCATATATGCACAATAACGATTCTAGCCAAAACATATTTACACATATATGTTCGTTCATCTGTTCATATATTTTCTTGTATGTATGCATCAATATGCAGAAAAAACTTATGCAAATTCTATTTGATATAGATACAATCGCATGCCCGTAATTACAACGTCTATGCACGAATCGATAAGGAATCTGTCACATACTTAAAACTGTAATAATACCGTAAGCCTCAAATTCCATCCCAAACTAATGTTACCATAAACCCAAAAACCAATTGATGTATTCACAGTAATTGACATTCAAAAAATCTATGGATGCTACCATAATTATGTTTGCTTTATTACAAAAAAAAAAATTAAGCAACACAAAACTCTTATTGATTTGTAATTATCAAATGCCAAAATTGTATGGTGTGTTGATGCACAAAACCGGAGGTCTTGGAACAACGTAAATCCGACCGTGAATACACATGAAATGTAAATAACACAAGATGTATCGTGGTTCACCCCAAGGTTTGGGCTACGTCCACACTGATTATGTATTTATCTGAGAGGTGAGGGAGAGAACCTCTGTAATGAGAGGAGATGTGAGAGGGGATGAGAGGGCCTCATAAATGGCCTCCTCTAATTGTGAGGGTGATGGGTCCTTTTATAGAATGAGGTTTCCTCACTTATTACATATTTGCCCCTTCCTTTATTACATAATTACATTTAAGTCCCCCGAGTATTTATACGAGGTCTAAATACGAGGCCCTAAATATGGTATAAACAGTAGTCCCCCAAGTCTTCAGTCAAGAGAGTCTTTTGGGTGGAGATTTGAAATTCAGTCCATGTGTGAGTCGAAGTAACTAGATGTTGTCTTGAACTGATGCTCGATATGAGGCGGTGCTTAATCTGAAATGATGCTCAACTAGAAGTAGCACACGCTGCGAGGCTGCTCAGCTCGTAGCTTATGTTGCCTTGGTTGGCTCGGCTTGTGGCGTTTGAAGGTGAGGGAGTCCCTTTTATAGAATAAGGGTTTGCTCCTCAATACATAAATGATGGGCTAGAGTTGATGCTCATGGCGAGGCGGTTGCTCAGTAGGTGGCGATGCTCTCTAATGGTGGTGAGGGAGTCCCTTTTATAGAATAAGGGCTCGCTCCTCAATACATAAATAATGGGTAAGTCCCCCAAGTATTTTTCATGAGGCCCAATATATGGTACATAATGTAGTCCCCAAAGTCTTCAGTCAATAGAGTCTGTTGGCTGGAGACTTCAAATTGAATCCATGTATGGGCCGAAGTGGCGGTTGTTCGGAGGCGGTATTTGTATACCCTGCACTGAAGCTTTGTAGGTGAAGCTTTGCAAGTGAAACTTTGAAGCTAGAGCTCTGTAAATGACGCTTTTGAAGCTAGAGCTCTGTAAATGAAGTTTTTGAAGCTGATTGACATGAGTGATGCTCATGAATGTTTATGTTGATTGACATGAGTGATGCTCATGGATGTTGTCATGAGTGATGCTCATGAATGTTAACATGAGTGATGCTCATAAATGTTGACATGAATGATGGTCATGAATGTTTATGTATGATTGTCATGAGTGATGCTCATGAATGTTTATGTATGAATGACATGAGTAACGCTCATGTATAATTTGGAGTATTGGGTGTACTTTTGATCACCTGGTTGGTGGCATGAAGGAGAGTACAGGTTGTACATTTCATCACCTGGTTGGTGGTAATAGCGGCAAGTTGCCGAATAATTTTGGAGTACTGGGCGTACTTTTGATCACCTGGTTGGTGATAATAGTGGCCTGGCTCTTTTGGGCATATGGGCATTCGCCCTCCACATAACGATCCAGCCCATTATTTTGGGCTTGCCGTTTTTTTTTTTTTTTTTGGATAAGAAAAATAAATTACATCCTTAAAAAACAAGAAAAGTAAATCACATCATTCTGGTGGGGTGTTTATTCCTTGCTTTTGCAGTGTCCCCATGTGCATCTCTTTTGCTTTTTGCTTTTTCTTGATTTTGCTGCATCTCTCTCTGTCTCTGATTTTGCTTTTTCTTTTCTCCTTTCGCTTTCGGATTGGAGGACATTGTCATCCATGCTTCTTCATTTTTCAGCTGGAAAGCTAAAGACCCAAGACTGCAAAGCAGATTAAACAATGTATGGGGAAGAAAAGAAAACAATTGGGTATCTTTTTCACTTATTTTCCTCCACTTTCCCTCATTTTCCGAGAAAATAATAGATAATTGAGGTAGTGCAGAACCAACTCAACAAAGATTAACCTTTTCCATGAGGGTGTCTAATCAGATAGAAAGAACAACTCAAAGGATGGAGAAAGAGTGTGGCAGCAGCGATGTGAGATCTGACAGTCACTAGAAAGGTGAAATACTCGGTGGTGGCAGCAGCGATGGAGAGAAAGGTGAAATCCAAAAAATACAGCAGGATCACCAAAACAATGCACGACAAGAACATCGAAATCGGCCCGAAAATCCACAGAAACAGAAGGAACGAGAAGTAGAATGCTCGGAGTCCCAAGGACCAGAAATAGCTGCCTCGGTTCACGGTGGTGGCAACGTACTCTTGCGTGAGGTACTGCTGCTTGTGGTGAGGCGGCGACATCATCTTCTTGAACGACGCGTTGATGAGCATGCTGGCATGGCTGTAGTACCTTATGGACTGCACGTTGAAAAGGAATGCCACCAAGAAACACACTAAAATGGCGAAGAACTTGATCGAATACGCAAACTCGCTTCGGTTTCCGAAAACGAAAAATGCTCTCCTAGTGCTGATGGTCATCAAGAGGGCAATGAGAAAGCAGAGCATGATCGCTGTCAAGGCCAAAACGGTCGATGCCATTATGTTGTTTCGAAGCGTCTGCACCGGAAGAATACCATTCTTTGGAGCATCGTCCATCATGGCTTGAACCCAGAAGCGGCGATTGATGGAGTTGAATACATAGAACCTCGAAGTTGAATTCGATTGGATAACTTATGTTCTTTGATTATTGTTTCGCAAAAGCAAACCCTTGAAGATCTGAAACACACTCAAACAGATGCAAAACTGAAATAAAAAATGGTAAAGAGAGGAGATATTGCTCTTTAATGACTTCCAGTTCCAGCTCTTTGCCTCTATCTCGATCTCGGTCTCAGTCATATTTGGAGGTGGAAGGAAGCAGCTGTGCTGGAAGATGGAACAAAGATAGCAGATGAAGATGATCAGATGAAGTAGGATGTGACTTCAGCTTTATCTTCCCTGTAGGCTTGTGAGGAGTATTTGAGATTTGGATCTTTTCTGTTTCTGGGTTTTTGTGATTTTGCAGATTCACGGTGGAGGTGAAAAAATAAAAGAGAACTGACATAATTTTTTGTGTCATTTCCCACAGACGGCGCAAATGTGTCTTGGAACAACGTAAATCCGACCGTGAATCTACATGACATGTAAATAACACAAGATGTATCGTGGTTCACCCCAAGGTTTCGGCTACGTCCACACTGATTATGTATTTATCTTAGAGGTGAGGGAGAGAATCTCTGTAATGAAAGGAGATGGGAGAGGGGATGAGAGGGCCTCAGAAATGGCCTCCTCTAATTGTGAGGGTGAGGAGTCCTTTTATAGAATAAGGACTCCTCACTTATTACATATTTGCTCATTCGTTTATTACATAATTACATTTAAGTCCCCCGAGTATTTATACGAGGTCTAAATACGAGACCCTAAATATGGTATAAACATGGTGAATCAAACATGGGGATATCATGAGAATTTTTTAAAACAATTAATGCACAAATGCTATCTCCATATGCATACATATTTCATTCATATATGCTATTATACATAAATCACAAAGCAATTGGCATCCACTTTGTTATGCATTTGTATTTGTTGCCTTATAATACCTACCGAATTGCATATGATATGCAGTCAAATCCATTCCAACCCAAACTTGATATAAATCAAATCAATTAAAAATCAGGAATTGACAATAAGACGTGCATGTGCCACTTCCTACAATTATATATATCGAGATTCATACATAAAACAAAGCATAACCATTTATGCATATCGTTAGCATTCTTTTAAACCATCAGAAAAGACTAAGCATATTTGCTTCATCATGACAGTCGATGAGACTCAACCTGTACAACAATCATGAATCATATATGCTCATAAGTTCAAAATTTGGCTTAACCAATGCTAATGGCAAAGCAGATACATGCACCAGCACACCATGCGTCCATGTATATATTGAAATAGATTCGTGTTTGTGCTTCTTTATACTTGGAAGCCCTTTGATATTATATAATATAACTTGTATATATTATGTTGATGCACAAAATCAGCGAGGACTTTGGTACAACAGAAAGTGTCAGGTTTGTGACCTTCGCTTGGTTGCTTCGATCACTAGTGAAGATAAGTACGTAAATGAATAGGGACAGAGAAGCAAACACAAGATGTACGTGGTTCACCCAGATCGGCTACGTCCACGGAGTAGAGGAGTTCTCATTAATTGTGAAGGGTTTACACAAATACATAGGTTCAAGCTCTCATTTTGTGAGTTCTAGTGAATAGTTTAGTACAAAATGACATTAGAGATTATTGTGGGAGAATGATCCCTATTTATAGAGGAGAGTTTCTAGTTTTGTTCTAACATCGACACGTGTCGTGTTGTGATTGGCTTCTGATGTTGACACGTGTCGAGCTGTGATTGGCTTCTGATGTCGACACGTGTCGTATTGTGATTGGCCTCCTGGTTGAAGGGAAGCTCTTCTAGGTCCTTGACGGTATAACATTGACCGGTGCTCAGTAGTTTCGGGATTGGTCAAGTATGGTAAACAGTGCTCCCCTAAGTTCCCGAGTGAGGGAAGCTCCTCGGTTGGGGACTTGCAAGATCCAAGCCATTGAGTAATCACGAAACTTCTAAGTACTGGAGTGTGGTATCATTTTCACGTGCTTTATCTGTCTCATATGTAGATGTGGCATCTTCTCTGGAAGTACTTTTCCTCCATCCATGGGTGGTATCTTTAATCGATGAAGATGCACAAGGTAATGTATCAATTTCACTTGAAGCTTACCTGTAGTTTCGGGCTTGGTCAAGTGCGATACAAACCCTATAGTAGGAGTCCCCCAAGTCGCTGAGCTAGGAGATCTGCCGAAAGAGGTGACAGACAAGGTAAGCAGTCAAACTTCCAAGCAAGCAACCCAGGATCGGAGGTTCGACTTCGGCTTCCGGTTGATTGTTCTCCTTCTCCTTGTCTCTCATTCAGCTGCCAGGATAAGGAGAAGCAAATGGAGAAGAGATGATATGAGATACTTTTGCTTTTGAAGAAGTAACTTTCCACAGGCTTATTCTTGAACTGTGCTGGAGGGTTTTCTTGTTCCCTTCAGAGTATAAGGCCGACTCAAATCTAGAGTACGTTCGACCTTGATGATATGGGATACTTTTGCTGTTGACGGAATAATGAATGTGGTATGGAAAGGTGTCGTGCTGTAGTGATCTGTTTCAGCTCACCGTTGAACCTTCTGCTTCAATCTTTTGCATGGCAGAAGTGGTGTGCAACCTTTGCATTTAAATGGTCCTTCAGAACATTCCTTCATAGTGACTCATCCACGTTTGGCAGCTTCAGTGTAAAGAGCCAATATCTGATCAACTGTCATGAGGTATTTGCCGGTGGAATTCGTGACCTTGACAGCAGTTGAGGATGAGTACTCGAGAGCAATGCTAAGTAAGCAACCAGGCAAAGGTTCCATGCAGTCAGTTCCAGATTGGAGGTTTGATTTCAGGTTCCGACTGACTGCCCTCTTTCTCCTTGTCCTGCAGGTGTGGACAAGGACAAAGACAAAGACAGGGAGAAAGCATGATATGGGATACTCTTGCTTTCGACCCTGATGATATGAGATACTCTTGTTCTTGGTGTGGCTTATTTGCTGAGGTATTATCGGGGGGAAATAAAGCTGAGTATTTCGAGAGGTTATGTTGAGGGTGCATTCTCGAATGCGAGAAAGGGTTGAGCATTTTTGCAGGTTTTCCTGTCCGTTGAGGAGGGAGGTCGATGTATATAGGGATTTCCCAATAACAAGTAGTAATGCTATTCCTTTACCCTTCTTGGTCACAACAATGTAGTGGGAGCTGCCAGCTTCACGTGTTTTAACTTTGTCAGAGCACTTTGAAAAAGTGGTATGTGGTATCTGGAAAGCTGATGTTACGTGTGAAGATTACAGACAAGCTTTATCTAAGGAAATCTGGCTCTCGAAGTTCTGAGAGTTGTGCCTCTTCGGTTTTCGAACAAGCAATCCCGTCGAGGATCTGACTCTCGAGATTCGGAAAGCGGTGCTACTTCGGTTTTTGAGAAAGTAATTATGTTGGGAGTCTTTTCTCGAATGTGAGTAAAGGTTGGACGTTCTTGCCAACCTGTCTTGCCGCAAAACACGGAGGTCGACACACATAGGGACTTTCCAGTTGTCAAGCAGTGGTGTTGTTCCTTTACCCTTGTGGGTAATAGTATGTAGCTGGAACTTCGAAATTCTCGTGCCTAAACTTTGTCAGAGATCTTTGACAAAGTTATATGTGGTACCCGAGGAGTTGATGGTGCATGTGGAGAGTGGTGATTGAACAATAAGATTCACGTGCTTTCTACTTCACCAGAAATCTTCGACAGATTACCCGTAATTTCTGCAAAGCTGAGTGTGCATGTGACAGGTGCTGACGAGGCTGAAAAAGCAGGTGCTTCTTCGATTTCTGAGATCGGCCCTCGTGGTCTCTGAGCAGCCCAGCTTTTGAGAAAGCAAACGCCTCTTCGATTTCTGAAGCTCCGTCGAGTGCAGATTTTTATAGAGGCTGGCATTAAGTTCCACAGCACACTTGAATCTCTACCAGTAGAAGCTCCCTTCTTGCCCTTCTAAGATCTTGATTTGTCTGACCTCTTCCCTCTTCAACATATTTGAAAATGTCTGGACCCTCCGACCGTCGTTTTGACTTGAACCTTGGAGAAGAGACAGCCACGCATTCTCCAGACAACATATGGCGCCCATCCTTCATATCCCCTACTGGTCCTCTTACCGTTGGGGATTCTGTGATGAAGAATGATATGACCGCTGCAGTGGTGGCCAGGAACCTTCTCACTCCCACAGATAACAGACTACTTTCCAAACGGTCTGATGAGTTGGCTGTTAAGGACTCTCTGGCTCTTAGTGTTCAGTGTGTAGGTTCTGTGTCTAATATGGCCCAATGCCTATTTGCTAGAACCCGCCAAGTTGAATCATTGGCTGCTGAAGTGATGAGTCTCAAACAGGAGATTAGAGGGCTCAAGCATGAGAATAAACAGTTGCACCGGCTCGCCCATGACTATGCTACAAACATGAAAAGAAAGCTTGACCAGATGAAGGAATCTGATGGTAAGGTTTTACTTGATCATCAGCGGTTTGTGGGTTTGTTCCAAATGCATTTATTGCCTTCGTCCCCTGGGGCTGTACCTGGTAATGAAGCTTCAAATGATGAACCTCCAATGCCTCTTCCTTCTGGGGTTTTGTCAAGTACTGAGGCTCCGGATAACCACCCTCCGGTGCTTTCTCTTTCTGGGGCTCTACCGACTGCTGAGACTTCCCCTAAGCAACCTTTGTGAAGGCTCCCTTTTGTTTGTTTATTTTGACTCATGTATATGTACATATTTGTGGCTTATCGAAAATATTAATAAATAAGCTTTGCTTCATTTCAACATATTGTGTTAAATACACCAATGCCTTCTTCAGAAAGTTCTTTGAATTTTTTCTTTTGTTGAAACCTATATTGTTGAAGCTTTGTGAGTGAAGCGTGTAGTTTGAAGTAATGTTCCCTTAATTTCCCGAGTAAGGAAAACTTCTCGGTTGGAGACTTGAAAAATCCAAGTCATTGAATGGTTGTGAGACTGTCGAGTATCAAGGTGTAGTAGCATATGGTGGGAGTCCCCCAAGTCTTCAGGCGAAGAG